TTTGACAAGGTGGTGCGAATCGGCAGTTTGTTTAAATCTAAAGATATTTCAACAGCATGTATCATTCCACCTTTTCTTAAACCTTCATACCCTAAAGGTAGTTTGTTTGGAGTGGGGTAGCTTCAAAATACCCTCCTTGTTTGTTACATGAACTGTTCAGAGCTAAAAACAAGTTGAGTAAATACTTGACAATTTTGTTAAACGCTTTCGACAAAAATACTTAAACTTACAAATGTGTGGAAGAAAGCTGAGAAGCTACAGACTAATTGCTGTTACGAGAAGAACTTCCCCTACTTTTCTGTCTCGTGAAAATGAAGGAATGTGTCGTTATATGAGAAAACATTCTTATTCGCTCTGCGTGCATCCTAGAAAGCCAGCTAATCACTTCATGGGTAGGTAATTATGTACTCGTCATATACAACTTTTAGCGACGTTTCGGGAATAAAATGGTAGATAGTAAACCCTCCTCATTTTTAAAATCATTAAAATGGTTTGCTTTTCCTTAAAACTAATAGGGCCATTTATTGGTTCAAACATCGGCAAGTAAAATAATAGGGAGCAAGGACAAGCCTGGGCATACTTGAAAAGTTGGAGGAATAGAGAAAGTTGGGTACTTTGGGATAAGAAATGGTAGAATTGATTAACACAGAAACGCACCATCTAGAAGTGGACGGAATAGCGAATACACGGCTGGTTTTTCCGCTACATTTCGGTACAGTTTCGCCTAGTCTGCTGCCTCGCCCCGACAGCAAAAACACCTCACATCCACAAGGTCCACATGCCATGTGGCTGCGGGGTGGGGAAGGGATGGGGCGGAAGGAAAACAAATGGATTTCATTCATCAAATAAAAAGCAAAACGACAGTTTCACTGCACGACCGAACCCATCATTCGTGTCAAAAAAGAGCAGCGCAATCACGGAGCCGACGCAGAATGGCTATTGCGCTCACATTGTGCGCGTATCACTTCACTCGTTGAAGAGTGGATAAATTTGTCGAAAAAATCGTAGCCACCCAATCTTAGGAACTTGTGCTAATCACTAGGCTGAGGCAGAAAATATTCTATGACTTTTTTTACTGAAAGAAGAATGGCCTAGAAAGCCCCCACTTTGTTTGACTCGAATGCGCCACAAATGCTAATCACAAGACGGAAGTCCGGACATAACAACAAACAAACTTAAGATAGTTTTGTTGGCGAAATAAGCCCTAACTATTTAAAAACGAGCAAAATCCATTAGGTTGGGCAAGAAACGGCAGTTGTAAAAAGGATACATTTATTGTCCTGTTGCATCAACCTTTGGAATACGATTCGTAGAAAATATAACCACGAATGATAGACGAAAATGCATAGCCTCAGCGTACTAGGTGGAGAAGCATGATGAGTGATAGAATTATCTGCGCAAAAGAGCCTTTGGATCAGATGGTATAAATTCAGCTACCATCCAGACACAGGTTTGTCATGTGACGCCGGTTGGTCGAATGAGTGGATAAAGTTATTATTTTTTTTCACGCCATCATCCACCCACCTTGTCATGTATTTGGTCTAAAAACAGCCAGCTTCTGAGGCGTCGCTTTTCATTAACTGGACTGAGGAATAGGGAAAAAATAACAATTTCCAAACGAGGTAGGGAGCTTAGACTCTCCTTCAGTCTTTTACTAATAAGAAAAATGAAATTTGAGCTCTAATGGCAGTATTACCGGCCACTTTTATGACTGTGTTAATAATTCATTGTCTAATATCACGCAGGTCTAGCTAAATGTCATCGCAGCTGAAGCAAGATCATTCAAAATTGATTAAATCCGAGTAAGTATTTAAAAATAGCACCAAATATATCATTTGAAATGCAAAGAATCAGATCACGGTGTCATAAGTGGCCTGAAATGGGAAGAATTGTAGCTTGTAAAGCTCTGCGGCGAACGCAATAGAATCATAGTAATGGATGGAAGTCGCCAAACAGTACCATAAAGTTTAACGTTAACTCCTAGTGTCTTGGAAAACCAAATGAACCAATTCGTCCATTGTTGAGTGACGGCAAAATTTTCACCAAAAAGTAGGAGAAACTGTCTATTTGTACTTAGTTTTGCGTTCACAAAAAGGGTGACTTACTGTAGTGTCTCGCGAAACCAATGTTTTTTTTTCCACGAAGCTACTTCACATTTGACTAATAAACCCAGCAAGCATAAGAATCCTGAATAAATAGTCCATTAGCAGCGTTTGTGAATAAGTAACTGACAGAAATACGGGAAAAAATCAATCTTTTGGAGAGGTCAGTTCGTGTGCTATAGAGCTCTGACGGGTTAATCGGGACGTAGTATTTGGACTCCAAAGATATGCACACGGTTCAGAGTTTGCTGGAAAGACGCCACGACACAGAACGGCATATGCTTGGTGTGTATGTGGGTGCGTAGGTGGATATGTATGAATTTCGGACATAAACGATGCGGACGATTGTGCATGTGTATATGCATGTGCGAGAGCGCCACGCAAATGAAGGGAGAGGGGACAGATGGGCTAAGGTTGGGAGAAGTGTGAAGAGAGCGTCATCACCAGGTTAGTCCGTTTCAAGGTCGAATTCCTCCTGCCAAACATCTGTCACGCGATAAAGGCGGGGCCATAGAACGATGCGATGCAATACAATGGATGGGCTTTGTTTGCACGTAAAAAACCTACGCATGTCTCTACCATCAAGTGAAGTTCTTTCCATGAGGAAAAATGCAGGGTATCTCACCTAAGAACCTGTACTCAAGATGCTTCTTTCTCGAGGAATCATTAGTACATCATAACAGTGGTTTGGTATCTTCTTCATAGAAAAAAAATTAATAAGGATATGAAGAACCGGCAAAATTGGACCAATGAAAAGGGATAAAAAGTTCAACTGTTTTGCTGATGGCCATAGCGAACTCGTCGACAGGAAATACCTTTCACAAGGCTTGAGAGATGGTCAATGACGACCGATAACGGATTTTTCTGAGGGCTCAGTGATGGACGAATTCTCGACTTCATAAAAATTAGGTCCCTCGAGAGGTCTTTATTCTGTATAGCACTTGAGTTTCAGCGTATTGGGCAAGTTTTACTCCGGACAACACAGCTGCCATCCTGGCCAATTGGATTAGTCCAGTTCAATAAAGGCCTGTCTTAATAAGATTTTAACAGTTTAACGTAAACAAAACTAGACAGCTTTCAAAATTGCCGGCTCCTGCATTCATCAGTGGTACAGAAAAAGTCGGATCATACGAACGGTTGAACGCTTAATCTAGGTGAGAAGATAAGGAGAAGATTTCTCTCGTAAAAATACATGCACTCTAACATTCCACTGCATATATGGTAACGACGATGCAGTACACACCTGTACAAACAGTCGTGAAGTGTGTTTATAAACACAGACATTTTTTAAGAGAGTAAGATTGAAGCTATGACATCAAAACTCGAACCATGTAGTAGAACTCGAGAGACAGCACTAGTGACCTCTACAATACAGCATATCACTCCCAAAGCAGAAGTGATTCTGAGATTTGGGAAAAAAAACTAGAACCGGTAAGATCGGGACTAAGGCTCAATCCGTGTGAGATTCGTGGGCGTTTTAGCAGAGTATGCAGTCACTTAACAAAAGTGGTAAATCATGTTTAGAAAATAAACTAAATTGTGCGCGGAAATAAGGAGGCACGAGAGCATCTACCCCTCCCCTCCCACCTATTTTCCGACGACATCAAATTTGGCATTTTCTCTAATGGGGAGACAGTGGGTAATTATGATTTAGAATGTCAATGTAAAGCGGAATTTTGGGAAGCGAATAATCACGAGACGGGGATCAGAGATGTGCAGAGAGCAGCAAAAAGCAATGGAAAGAATCAAATAAATGTTGGTACTTCTTAGGTGAAACCGTGGGATCGCAATATTTTACGAAGCCATGAAGGCGAACAATTAGTCATGGTAGTGACGTAAAAAGGGATGCGACCAAGTGGTATTCATGAAAAATCAAACTAGGCCTACATAGGCCTAGTGAATATTCCAGTAGTAGCCAAATATCACTTCGGTGGCAAGACCTTTCGGAGCTAACATATTTGAAATTCAGCTTGAAATAAATTTTCGTACAAAACCAAAAACGAAGAGAAAAATGTACTTTGTTTGCTGATGTAATCACACCAATGACGGTGAAAATTGATTTGATTAGGAAAAAAGCAGAAAGCAACAGTTACAAAAAAATTGACGATGTGAATAGGACTCAGCAGATGGTCGGATAAAGGGACGGAAATGAGAGCCTAGTATCAAATGAACAACACCAAAAGTGGCTCCTGCAAACTTTGTGAATCAGAGGCAAACGCAAATCCGGGGACTTCAACGTCAGAGTAGGATTTAATGTGCCAGCAATAAGTCTGTCTTTCCAACCAAGAGAAGCATAAAAATGAGCAACAAATGAACACCCAGTGCAGACTAAACATCCTCTTGGAGTGGATGATTGAATATTTCTCATCTGTGCAAGTGAGACATGCATATTTGTTGATGCTGAACTCAGAGCTTAACTGGCAAAAAAAATACGGGGAAGGCTGGTCCAACACAGAAACATAAAGAGCACGTATCATAGGTATTGGGAAAGTAACATATGTGGGGAATGTAAAAAGCATAAAATATAAGCACTCGCTAACCGCCGCAGTCCCTTTAGCGGAAATCAAAATATTTTCTTACAAATTCATTGCATGCGGTTAGCAAGTAGAAAAGAATAAACCCATAGTTGAATTGTTTTTGCTAGCTATTAAAGCAGTTAACAAGATTATGGCCCATTTAAAATTCACTTTACTGGAGTAAAGAGTAAATTAATCGGACACCTAATTTTACAATTCTTTGCTAAGCCATTAGTCAATGAACTAGAAAACGACAGCGAGTCCGCTACTCTTAAGCCCAAAGGTGAAGAAAAAACTTATTTTACTGGAAAGTCAGAACTGCCATGCATCCAGATGATATGTAGATAAGATCTTGAGAGTAATTAAGAGTGGGAATACTTACGTACAAATCAGAAACAATGCGCAATTTATCCAACGATGAATGGAAATGAATACTCACGCCACTTTCATAGACGCAAGAGGGGATATCGCCTGGTTGACTAGCCGGTGAGGTGTTATCTACTGAACGGCGAGATGAAAAGAGCCGCCAGAGTAGAGTCTTTGACTTTTGAGGTTTTACACAGTCTGGGTGATTATTGCCTTCCCCTTGACCTGAGTCCTCAGAAGGTTTGTACTTCGTGCGCCCTCGAAGTTTAATTGGCATTTTCTATAGAAAAACACGAGACAGACTACGACAAGTCCTACCTGACTTAAATCGACAAAAAGCAAAATGAATGACAATTGGTGTCACCACAGTACACAAATTATGGACAGCCAGCCATAAAATTATTTGGGGAGATCATAACTTAGAGGAAAGACACGCATGAGACCATTAAATCATTCGAACGAAATCAGTACAAGCACATGTGAAGTCGTGACCGACCTCATCGATACATTGCGCTTTTAGCAAAAGTTCGCTAAAAGAACAACTGACCTTCAAGATCAAATCGGTCGTACGCTCAACTTAGACTTTACTGACAAATCACACGATTCTGAATTTGGTATGGAATGCTAAAGTTAAGTTTACCACCTCATACTATTGTAGGAAATTCCTGCTCCAAAAGTGTTGCTAAAAAAATTGTAGCTATGTAAGTAATTTGCTAATATTTTGTAGAACCCCAGTCTTCCCTCAAGTCGTAACACAGTAAAGTGCTTTGGTTTATTATTTGACTTTGCGGCTGGTTACGCTACCACTAAAGGCTTCGTAGCCTGTACTTTCCCAAGACGCCACAGTCACCTCTCTATGCCAGTAGCCTCAGCTCTTCTCTACGTTAGCAATACATTTTCCCTCCTATCACTAAGATTTCTTATGATATAAGGAAACACTTTAGGCACTAAGACAGCGCCTATTTGGCATGTAGTTTAAGATGGGACCATGATCTACAGCGAAAGCACTATATATGCTAGTCGCTATTCGTGATACCATTAGCCCCAAAGCAGAACCATTTGGTAAAAGGTAAGATTTAAGATAGCTCTCTCTACCAACACGCTGAGTTTAGTCCTCCTTATCGCTACGTAATGCGCTTTCCCACACGGTTTCAGCTTGGTAATGACGCTTCATTTGTTAATAGTATTCTTACAGAACAGGTAATTTAAGTAATGACCCAGAGTAGACGTCATTTTTACCCATCTGTTAAAAGTCAAGTTTTTTGTAGATTCATCCATTTAAGGTGGATGCCCTTTTCCGGGACGCCAGGGTTTAGTGTTGAGGCCTAGAAGACAGGCGAGTTGTGTTGAGTTTGCTCACCATCACCACCAATGTAATGTTTCGGGTCTACGTTAGAGTCATAGTAAGCCAGTGGAGTGAATGACCACATATTACTAAGGTGCAGAAGGATTAGGAAGCTACTGGTATATTCTGAATGCCATGGCGCGGAGTGGGAACACAACCCGCAGTGGCTGGACTTCTCATGTAGGTAACTACAGAGTTAAGTAAAATACCGAGTTATTGCACTTTTGTTATAGACAATTATTTGGCTATAAAATGTGGCGCCTTAAGACTTCCCTTGGGACGATTTAAGGCAGAATGCTCGAGTGGAGCATGTATTGTCTACATGCAGAAGGGATCGGGGCTACTCGCATGACCTGCATACCAAGCCGCCTTTAACTGGCCTGTTTACAAAAAACCGAGAGAGCTAAACAAACAACTAGCATATTACATGAATAACTTGAAACAGTCCATAGCAAATTTGGAGTCCTAGTACTAATCATTTATTGAATCAGCGATGTTGTTAGGAAATCTACCCGAACATGATATTAGAATGTTTTGGTTTAAAACTAGAAACCTTGGCTTGTTGCCATTCTTTTGCATGCTTTTTTAATGTCTGCAGGTTTAAAATCACCTTTTTTCGTCAAGAATATATAAAGTGTTCGGTAGGTCCAATATTTTGCTGAAGTTTTTGTTATGCTTAATTTTAGGCATTTTTGCACTTCTCGGTCTTATAGACCAACCATTAGGCTATATTCCGTAGGCAACACGCAGGTTTGCAAAAGTCTGGGATTTAAAATGTTAAGACTAGTACCTGATAGTTGATTTTGAACGTCTGTTATCCGTTGCAACACGCTAGCGACGGACACGGTAGGTAGGGCATTAATTTCATATGTGTAATACTTGAATTGTTTGTTTAACTCTCCAATTTGTTAAAGGGGCCATTTTGAGTCTTCACCATTGTGCCTTGGCCCTTAGACCATGCCAGTAGCCCCCAGCCCCTTCTCCGCATCGATAATATATATTCGACCCGAGTAATGACTTCTTTTATCTTCAGAGGAGTCTCAGGGCTCTACAGATCCAACTGACTCATGAAGTAACGATTTAAACGCAAATCTTTCTTTTGAACTGCGACCGCTTACAAGCATTGTTTTTCAAATATTGGTCTACGGGTTTTAGCCCATTTGGAAAATGCCGATTCGTTGGTGATTTATGGTCCCTTTAACCTTTTAACCTATATTTAACTTGGAAGAAACGGAAAAACCTTTTCAAGTGCATTCGAGTCGTCTTTGTGTTTTAACATTGCATGTTAAACCTACCCACGAAATGTAGCCAACTCTTCGCAGTGGAAGTGAGACCTATGCTTATCGCCTTTCTCGTGTTTAATTTACCTGAGGAGCCTAGTGCAATGTGTTGGCAGCTTTTTGTCCATGAGTACTCGATGCGATTGCATGAAATACGATGGAACTCCAGACCGACCTACCACCATTCACTACCCAAGTGATGGTTTCAGACGCAAGCTATCTTGGCACCCCGCGAATCATGGTGACGTATCTTTATTAAGAGCAAACAAAACAGACATTTCCTGTGAAGTGTTTGACAGCGCAAGATCACGCCTTTGAGGAAAAGGTTTGAATTAAGTAGAAATGAACGAATAAAGTCGAACTAAGTTCACTTCGATACTCGCAAACCCATACCGAAATTCAATTTAATTTAAACCACTTCAAAACGTAAGTTGTTCAAATATGTTTTAGGCTAGAAAAGATGGTTCCTTCCTGTTTTTTTTTTTACCGAAAATGAAACAATTTTACTCGATCCTGATGCTTACTCCAGAGGAGATGAAGCATTACTCATGCGTCAATAGATTTTACCACGTATTCAAACCGTTTAATTTGGATGTGGTCTTTGTAATTATAAGGAGGTAATATGACTTTAAGTGCCCTAACAAAAGTTTGAGTGAGTTACAACTTCTGTTGCAACTTATAATGATTCCGATTGACGAAATTCGTTTGAACATGAAAGTGGTCGAGGATGGCGATGCCCTATCAAGCTGTAAGAGCAAGAGTATGTTCTTTTCAAAAATGTCGATCGATAATTTTGCCTCAGGATTCAGGTGGGACGTCGGACAATTTGAAACGGCATGGTGTTGTGCTTGTTACAAAACCGTTCAACGCACACGACTTGCGCTTGTTAATGGGGAATTCGGCGCTCGCATCCAGATTCCAACATCACAGGCAATTTGAAGACGCTGCTGTACAGGGCAACCCTCTGATTCGGTGTGAGCATGTGGGTGATCCACGTCGAAAAATTGGTCATGCCGATGACAGGGGTAGGCATTCTTGTAAGCACAAGATGAGCGACTCGAATCGACTATCTCTTGAGAGCCTAACTCGCAAACCTCTGCCTCCCGTGAAGGAGCAGGTAAGTCGCCATCAAGAGGAGCCCCAGTCCGAGAGGGACGCCAGCACTATGCCAGTGGATTCCGTGTCAACGATCACTGTCGATCAGCCGCACCCAATACCCGTTATAACAGTGACACGCTTTGGTGATCAGGAAAAGGCGAAGACCACACCAAAAGTGCACAATTGCCTGCCCGAGGTGGTTAAAACCTCGCAGGCAGTTCAGGTTCAAAATCAGCCAGGTCTGACCGGGGTGCCACGCCACAAACCCATCCAGCGCTCGTCACAGACGTCTCCGGTCAAAGGGAGGTCACGTAGTCCGCCACGAACCAACTCCGTGTCACCAAGGCCAGAGAGGAGTCAGTCAACTAGGTGCACAAACGCCGTAAGACCTCCACGTCCGGAGAGGGCACTTCAGAAACCCCTATCCCATGTGACCAGTAACTCATCCGCCAGAAACCGTGAGACAAAGATGTCACAAAACAGAATGCATCATAGAGAACATGATAGACTAACCAGCCCTACAAATTGCAGGCGATCCAGTTCAGCAGGTCCTCATTCAAGACACCCAACACCGATGAACACTCCGAGGCGAGCAGTTTCGAGAGATGTACCGAAGCGAGCGCCAGGTCTTCCACAATCTCGATTGGAGTACACCTTCTACATAAGAGATACGGACGAACACCGCAGACCCTTCGATGAGAGCACGGCTGATGCAATAGCCCGCGGTTGTCAATGCTCCATCGAACTGATCACACTAGGGAAGGGCTTCCCACCGATTTTCCACAAGGGCGTTAGGGTGTGCCCAGTCACCATCACCACTTCCAATATGACCAACCTGAGAAAATGCCTTGCTAAACTGGACGCCCACTATCCCGATCTCAACGCCAAGGCCTTCCTTCCGCATTGAGACAAAAATGTGTGCACGCACCCACGAATACGTTCCCATGCACACATACATTAACTTCATTTTTAAAAGGCACCTTTGTGATTGAAACCACCCGTTCCTCTACCAATTTTACAGCAAAGATATTTCTTCGAACGAAGCCTGAGTTTCTTACTTTTATTTCAATTACTTCATTAAATGCTTTCGAAAAACTACCTATACGCACGAATACCTTCGTAAAATATCGGTGTTCAAGGCTGCATAGATTACTAGCCGGTTTTGGGCATCTAGGATGCATGATTTTGAACTACTCATGATAGTTTAGGCTACATGTTCGTCTTTCAACTCATCCGGAACGCATTAGAAGGACTGTGCCAAGAAATTCCACGATTTCAGTTTTTGGTATGGTGATCCAAATTGTAAGACCCGAAAAATGGTGTAAAAATAACCACACAAACGGAATCTCGGTTTCTAGCAAACGACTATCGTTGCTACTTGTTGAAGCTTAGTAACCTAATTGCGTTACAGTATGCAACAGGAAAGCTTTTGAGTAACTGAATATTTACCGATCAGGCTAGTATCAGCATAATAAAATAAAACGCTGCATCAGAACTCGATTACGGTTCCTGTATAGACCCCCTAACTGACCACGAAAGGAATGTACATTTACTGATTACTTACAGGGAGGGGGATAATAGTAGGTAGGCGTATTCTGTACACAAACACATACAGAGAAGCCGTCGGAGGAGCCTAGTTGTGGTGTTTTTTGTTGCCTTTCTTATGTCGCTTGCCTTCTCCTCTCCCGACATCCATGACAGACAGTTGGTTGTGGCGTAGTCTGCGCTTCCTCTCCATCTTGTCGCCCAGGGCCTCGCACCGACGCTTCACACCGCTGCAATGGAGTAGCAGTGGTTTCACTTAAATGTTTAACTACGCGAGTCTTTCGTGTCAACCACAATTCGAAGCGTATAACAAGGGTGCTCCCAGACCCTTGCAGCCCGTACTGTCTTCAGAGATGACTCGGTCATCGAACCTCTGCCATTTTGCCTATGAGGTTCAGTCCCGCAACAACATTAGACTCTAGTGAAATTCAGATTCAGAGTGAACATCGCGTATCTATTTGAAGGTAACTTACAAGTGGCCTCATGCCTACTTTCTTCCATTAAAATTAGCTACGGAGCTGATTCATTGGAAAGGGTTGTAGCTGATTTCAAGTTTACATCAGCACTTTGCAAGTATCTCTGACAACGTATGCAATAGAGAGTGAACGTCTATAGCTTATAAACAGCCATTGTTCAATCAGTGAGGAATTCCAGAGTACAAGGAAACGTGTGGACAGCAGTCCCAGATATCTGGGGAGAGAATTTTTATGCCAAAACGAAGGACGCGCAGTTACCATTATCAAATTATCTGACCAGTTCATATGCGTAAATATTTTTTGTGGAAAGATTATTTCAGATTATTCAAAATTTCTAAACCATTGGAGAGAAAAAGCGAGAGCCGATTTTTTATGGCAAGATGAATGATGCGGAGCAAAATTTTAAATAAAAGCTGGGCTCTCACTTAATTACAGTTATGAATGAACATGATTGTAAGGCGAGGATGTTCAACAAGTTTTAACTCATCGAAGACTCAAGTGGTATCTCTATTGGCTGGAAGTTTTCAAATGTTGTATGTAGGAAGCAATTCAATGTGTACGACCGTTAGAAAATCCTACCGCAATTTGGCGATGCATTGTATAAATTATGAGGAATAAATTATCAGCTACCTAAAGTGAATTGTAAATTTCTCGATCTTGGTTATTTTTCTGTACTCTCTTAAAAGCCATATTTATTGAGTCCCAATATTGCGTTAAAGTAATGCCGTAACTACCCCATAAATAAGCCAGAGACAAGAATGATAGAAAGAGGTATGATCACATATAAGCTGAAATGATTGTTTTCAAAAGTAGCAGTAACCGAAGGCTTTGCGTCTATCCTTTGTTTTCGAAATACAGATGGCCGTATTGCATACCTGCACTTACATGTGAAACTCAAATGAAATAAAGGGTTCTTAGATATGACTATCACATATTTCTGCATTTTTGAATCTGGAGAGGCTCTAATTGCTCCGTAAATATATTCTTTTTCATATATTCTTCAAGTGCACATCTTACCATGCAAAAGCGTCGCAATTTGAAAAAGACAAACAAAATTGGAGTCACAGCGATTGGATATTGAGCTAAAAAAACGTTAGAAGCAACAGAAACAAATGACATTATGATTTCGAATTCATTTCACTGGTAAAAACTATCCACTACAAGGGATAATTATCACATCCACGGTTATTATTCTGTTCGTGGATTAACGAATTGCATGGCAAAAACATTTTCAGATCGAGTCAAAAATCAAACCAACTGAAGCATCTGATAGTGCCACCAGCTATTCAGTGATAGTTAGTTCAAATGAAAAGTCCGGACCACTTACCCATCCTTTGCCTTCTCCTCCGGAACACGCACATGGAGGGCGGAGAGCTCGGAGCCATGACCGGCAACAGCAGCACTCCAACTCCTGTCCGAGCCTTTAACTTCGTAGCGGGCGAGTTTGACATCGCCCTCCTCACGCAGCAGCTCTTTTACCAGCTCCGCTCGACGCACCTGCTCCGCCTCGTCCGTCAATACCACTGATGTGCTACCAGGCGTTACATCAGTCAGAACAAACTCGTCGCCCAGATCCGCCTCCCCCTCCTCCTCCTCATCATCATCGGACTTTGAAGCGTTGAGGTCACGCGTCCCCAGGTTGGAGGGGGCAGAGGCACTGAGTAGACCCGACACGGTCTCTCCCTGAAGGAGCAGCAGTTGCAAATACGCAAACAGTAAATGTGAATGTATACCTGCTTTGCGAATAAATTAAATGACGATTTTCACTACTTCCTTCGATTGTAATAAATCTGTGAATCACAAGTTTTTCCGATGTGGCGTTTACCAACAATACGCCTATGAATTCAAATAAATTAATCTCCCTCAACTATGATGAGTCGCCGTCTGGACTTATCCTACTTCAGCGGCAAATATATCTCTACAATGTACAAACACATAATGTGCAGAGCCATGCAAGGCTTTATCAAATCGGCTATGGATTTAGAATACTTTGCAGGGGATGCAATATTCCTTATATTTGCCTCGATTGAGCAACCACTGATGGGAGACTAAAGATGACATTAAATAGGGGTTTTTTAAGTTTAGGGATAAAATCATCCTATTATTTGGATTTCATCATACAGTCAATTTTAGTGAAGCTAGCCGAAATCAGGGTTACTGCAATAAAGTGAGTAGAACCCACGGGATTGATGTTGTTGGTCATTATCGCCAGAGATCGGTTCATTTTCACAAAGCATTTGAAACCGATTTCGGCAAAAACCTACTCAACTATCTGGACTAATTTGCAAGGTACAATTAGTCAATGTGACTGGACCCAGTCTGGGGACTCAGTAGTTGAAATGGTGTGAATGGTACAGACGAACCTGATACGGTTGGCCGTCATCCTCAGCGGCCTTGAGGGACTCATCGAGGGACTTGACGAGTTCATGGATGATAACAAAGAGGAGGCCACGGATACGCCGCGCCCAGCCGCCACTTGGTTGGTCGGTACTGGTCTGACCATCGACCCTGAGGCGCCTCTTGGCCAGCCCTCCGACAGACGTCACTTCGACTCTGCTGTTCCAGAAGGCGCCATTAACACCTGTAACTAGCGATTGACGCTGTCTGTTGCCTTGCAGGCCTCCGTCGACGCCCAACAGACGGTCTAACTCCTCCGCCAACTGTTCCACCGACTTGCGCTGCACGCCCAAACCACAGAGAATCACCTGCAAGGCAACCAGCTACCTCGTCATATGGATTGCCTGAGTTATATGCCATCAATTCTAGTTGAATATTCAAACAGTATTCAGAAATACCGCGACTGGACCGCGAATATTGGACCAAATTCAAAATGGTCAATTCGACAAGAAATTTCACGTCAAACCGCTCTCTTAAGACATCCTAACCATGTTGATGTGCAAATGGCTAATTAAAGAAAATTAATATGGCGAAAGCTAAAACTAAGGTGTCAACCAAAGAAGCAAGATAGGAGATGAAGATGTCGACTTGCCTGTTGGGTTTTGTTCAGTTTGACATGAGGGAAGCGACGGAGGAAGTAGAGGATGGCTAACTGCGGCAGTTGATCGGCCACCATAGGGAAGTCTAGGAGGGAGCGCAGGTAGCGATGCAGACGCTCCAAATCGATCGTTGAGAAGTACTGCCGCACCTCCGCACTCGTCAGTTCTGTGGAAAAATCCGGAGAAGGAATGTTTCATGAATCGTCCATCTAGCTGGTGAGACATGCATCAACGAGTAGCGAAACCCATCCAAAGGACTATCTTTTGATGTGACAACATTAAGACCCCAATTGATATGACGTCCATGACTGACTAATAATTTGGTAAAGTTAAAATCCTCTTACATTTTTTTTAGTGACTAGCCTACGTAAACGAGGAAATTCATGCATAAGGAAACAATTCAACTTTGCTGATAAAGAGTTATGAAGGTCGCTAAGACGAATTTAATTATTTACAAGAACCTCCGCTAAAAACATACCACTCAACAATCACGAAATATTATTTTAATGGGAAGGCTTTAATAATAATACTTACCAGGAGCCATTTTTAAATGGCAGCTAGCAGTTACTTAGTTGACTATGGGGGGGTAATCGAAGAGTAAATTCGAGTAATATTATTAAACTTTATTTTACAGAAGAGACCTAAATGCAAAAAGTAATGCCATTATATGCGAACCTAGGCGAACAGAGGGGGCCTTGGTTTTTCGTACGTGAAAGAGAAAAATGAACCTGACTCACCCTCTCCAATCCAAGAGCGCGTCGACTTGGAGATGAGCAGTTCCAGTGAGTAGGCCGCATCCAGGGTACGGAAGGGTCCCGGTAACAGTTTGACAAATCTTTTGCAAAAATCTAGAACGGGAAGATTTTAGTCAAATACCAAGGGAGGATAGAGTGAAGTCGACTAAAAGTCATTAAAGAGGTTCAATTCAGCGCCCTGAAAGCTGTGAATTGACCGCAAATCAATTATCTGCTGCACTATCCAATCATTGTATAGCTATATTCTGCAACAAAACCAACGGAATAATAGAAAGAATCACACCATTAACAGACATAGAGAAGTGTGTTCAGAAGGGGACGTACCGAAGTAGAAATTTTTCAACCAGTCAACACTAACACCAGCCGCGCCATCATGACGCAATTCTGACAGCATGATGCATGAAAATTCCCCGGTTAGCTCATTCTAAAACAGCAGCAATAAAGTACTGATTATTACGGACTTCAAAATACGCTCAAGAACCAGAGCATTTGAGATTAATCCCACCATTGTCTGACGCAGGTAAACGGGTAAGTAACCAGCCCTTTTCCAAAAGCGCAGAAGCTTGGGCGTCGCGCCAAAGGAAACACCAATGTAGTTCAACTTCTCGGGCTTACGCTCACTCAAACGACTGAGGAGAGGAGGTAGACTGCTCGAAGCACGTCGCTCCACCTTTTCAGTGAGAAGTTGTGAGGTTGAGCCGTCACCACCGTCGGTCGACTTTTTCACCTTCTTGGCTGCAGGAGTTTCTTCCTCGAGATCCGATAGATTGTCCGGGATCTCCTCTTCCTCCTCTTCCTCCAACTTGTCCTCGTCTCCGTCATCACCATCTTCACTCTCCGAGTCCGCTTTTGATTTCACTTGATCGTCCTCCACTGACTTAGCGCTGGCGAGAACGCCAAGAGGCTAGATGGACACCCCATGTAACATCAGAATTAACTCGGAAAAGATGCCAATCAACTTACAATAAACTGTATAATACACCTATTAACCACCAAAAACGGGACACATGCGAAATAAGACAGCCACTGCCACGTAAACTATAATTGCTTCTCTTGATACGGGAACATTTAACTCACAATCTCGCCCAGATAGTACTTGTGCAACAGTTGAAGCGCTCTGGAACCGTAGCCTAGTGACTGGTAGTCCGGATGCGTGGCAATCCGAATAATACGTGCACCCGAGAGTTCACCAAAGTTAGGCTCACAAAACTACGTGGAAGAGAGGGGACCAAAGAAACCTCAAAAATTAGTTGTTGCCCACCAAATTAACTAAAACCAACGTGCCTCTGCTATCCTACCTGTTGGCTAACAGTCCACGGAATCAAATCACCAGAAGGCTTCAGTCCACGAGATAAACCGCGCATGACGATGTCACGGTTGATCTTCCCCTCCAGACATACCTGGATGACACAAAGGATTTCCGGAACACGACCAGAGCTTGGGTCGTAGGGTGCGAGGAGGCAGAAGATATGATGAGCAGGTGCATCTGAGAGCAGCTGCAGATCGTTTGGCGAATTTTTGTAATGTGAAGAGACGTAGAGGGCCATGAGGCGTTGCAAAAAGACCTCAGTCGAGGTGTGAAAAGCGAAAAGAGTATCTCTGTTAACGTAGTAGAGTTGGCACGCGTCGGGAGCTGGAGCGATGCCACCAGTCTTAGATTCTGTAGAGGACAACTTTTCCCCGCAGTCAAGGCAGAGAAGATTGTTTAACCAGCTCTCTACTGGATCTCCATTCGCATATCGGATGGCTTCTTTCAACGAAATCTCGTAGAGGAGGCGTGCCCGATTCACTAAAACCGACACTCCATTTGGTGATGACCATTGTGCGGTTAGAAACATGTATTATTCAAAGATACGACCATAAATACCTTAATACAAAGTGGATTAGCATTACTTGTACATTTTCAATCAAGGATATTTAGCAGACTAGGAATTTGAAATAAAACTCACTGAGCTGTAGACCTTTCCCCATCTCTGAAGATTCTTTCGTCGACTCCGTATTAGTAATTCTTGAAACGCCATCGACCAGCTGGCACTCATTTCTCAGTTGACCGATAAGCTTCACCGACAGTGATCTACCCGTGCCCTCATAGCCGTTGATAGTTGACGCCATGAAAACCAGCTTAGGCCCGGTTATCATCTGACGCACGGTAGGTAAGGGGATGGCGGCGGCCTCATCAATACAAAACAAGTCGGGCTGCCAGCCACCACCCGCACCAGCTGCCGCCTCCCAGGGTTGGAGGTAGACAAGACTCTGACGATACAAACGGCGCGTTACTTCAATTTTTACAACTGCCTTGTTGTGGTCGGGATCAGTGGAACGATGCACGGTGTAGTCCACGTGTTCCTCATACTTGAGGGCCTTCAGACCGAGCAAAACGAACTGCATGAGGGTGATAAGATTCTCAGGGCTTGGTGCGGTCACACACATGTTTGGAAGACCAGCGTCAAATGCGGCAGCAAGACCAAGACCAAGGGCAGCAGACTTGCCACGACCTCGGCCTGCTGTTACGACAACCACAGCCGAGGAGGCTGACTTATGACCGGTGCTTTTGGTCCCACTGTCGGAGAGGTGAGTAATCAAATTCTGTGTGGGAAGATCGAATTGAGCAAGCTTGCTGGCAATGCCTGACTTCTTGGCGACTTTAGTCTTATCAAAAGGGTTAGCTATGTCAATAAGAGCGGAGCAGAACTGGAGAAGGGATTTAGTTTGGTCCAGCGTTTTGCAGAGGTTTACTAATGCGGCGAAATAGGAGTCGTCTTCAGTTAAAAGAACCTAAGAACTAGTTTTGTATGTGAATGGATTACTTTTAATTTAGCCAACTCCGCCTGTTCCCTTGATACCTGCTCCGACTGTTCACGATCTGGCATGCAGTCAAGACTACGAATAACTTTCCTTGAAATCGGTAGTATATTCCAACGATCATCTATGACAATGCATCGGGGATTCTGAGCAAGCGAAAGCAAGAAGCGTTCATTAAAGCGGCATACAACATCAGTGTGCGCCTCCGTTCTGTATCTAGCATGGACATCCTAGAGGTGTTAGAGGAAGCAGTTGCACTCACCATGGCCATCGTGCATAGCTGCTTAAGTGAATCCATAGACTTCAACAGAAAAACAACAAGACCACCGCCAGATACGGTTTCAATGGTACGCGCAAGGGTATTGGGAGTAAGGGCTTCGAAGTCTTGTAGGACACACATATCGAAAGTTTGACCAAGAATTTTATTTGTTTCATGGTAGTAACACCACCGAATATCGGTGGAGCAAATGAACTGCTCGAATACTGTCCCTTCACTAACAATACCAGCTTTGCGACGCTGACTAAATAGCAGAATGGCATTAATAAAAATGAACTTGCTTCAAAAGTTTGAGATTCCGCTTGCGGTGTCTAAAGTTATGTACAGAAAACATAAACCTACGTGCTGAATGACAGTTCCTTTTTATAACACCACAAAATTTTGAGCATACCCTTCTTCGCCATTGCTGTTTGAATCTGATACAAAATAGGCACCTAATCAATGACAGTACTGTTAGGATATACTCACCTGATCTTGACCTTTGTTGCCTACGATGACTAAAACTGTACGATGATTTTGGTTAACACCACTTTGGAGCATAACTTGAATCCTATTATCTAGTTTTTGCAACTTCCCCATTGTAACTCCGAGAACGTGCAGACCAAATCACTGCTGGGATTTCGAAAGTCTGCGTGTTCGGCACTACTTTAAACAAGTAATTGATTAATGGGACTTGATTAAAAGTGTAAATCGCGGTTCTTTGTTTTTAAAATTAGCTACCTTTTAATTTTTAAAGCTTGGTGGTTGCTTTAGGATTAATTTGATTTTTGCTTCTTGGTTTGGGTTATTTTTTATTTAAACCTGCTTCACATTCAATCCTTTTAAACCCAATTTGGGCCAACTTCAGCTTTGACTTAGCTAGTTACATAGCATGCAAATAGATTGCATGTACTGTCGTTACCTTACTGGGTTTAACCCACACAGTAAGATGTAAATTTAACTTTACCAAAGATAGTATGCATTGCGGGTAATATTTATGAAAGAAAACTTGATATTATTTGTAGTGTAGCGTTCCGAGACAAAATACTCGGGCAGAATATATATATGTATATTCAGCACGGAGAAGGTGTCTGGGATATTGGCATGGCCCAAAAGGCCAGCCCACCCAGCGAGGTACAAGGGGGCTAATTCAAAGTACAAAAGTCGCACCTCACCAGAACCGAGGGATAAACTACTATCGTATCACAGTAGTGTTTTGTGACTTAATTATCATAAAAAAAGTTATGCTAATCAGAAAGAAGGTTTTGGGGGCCACTAGCATTACCTAAAAGCCAGTCCGCCAGGGGTAGGTACAATGGCGGTGCTACAAGTAACCCGTTACCAAAACTGAGAGTAAAGCACGCGATTATTATAATACAGCAGCTATGAACAACTATTTTAGCAGTATCTTAGTTGGCTGTTGACTAAAGGCTCTCTCAACCACGCTCTGGGATTTTTGATTGACCATTTTACATGCACTAACAGTCAGCCCAAAAAACTCATTTTTTGGCTTTAAATACCGAAATAAAACTTATTTGCCGTTTTGTTTAATTACATTGTAGCACCCTGAGACTTCATCGCAGACGAAAGAGGGCAATACTCTAACAGAATATGTCTAAAACATACAGTTGGGTCTGGGGCTACTGGCATGGCCTAGAGGCCAGCCCACCCGTCCCGTGCATTGTCCTTGGTCAACATCCTGCGTCAGCCATTACAACTAAATCGATGTTGAAAGAAAACACCCACGCACCAATCATGCCAGTCATCAACTTTATATGCAACTGAGGAGATACTTGATCTCAACGTCACTGATTCATCTATACAACTCAAATAAATTTGCAGTTTCGTACGGCATTAGGACTGGATTCGGGGCAGGAAATTGCACTGGCCATCTTGAGTGTCTATAGCTAGACGTATGAACACTGGCCTAAGAGTAGACTTGTATTATTGAGGATAGGATTTAGCCCAGTTTCGTGGCAGTAGGGTTTCGCTTCTGTTCCTCCTTACCACTATAACTCACTTCAAAGCTGCCCTGTAATATCCAGCTGGGTTCCATTCAGCTAGTAGAGAAGCGAAAGAGGTACCGCGAGTTCGCATTATCAATATCTTAATTCCAGTACGGTAGGCAACTCCGTGCCAAAACTCTTCCAGATGGTTCACATCTAGCGCTGCTTCTGTTTTTACTAGTTTTCCCACAGACCACAAGACTGGGGTAGTTGCTGAAGGTAGACTTCATTCTCAGCCCTTCTGCTTGAAATCATCACCGATTCTTCCATCCATAGCATACACACTTCTTTCGCCTTGCTGAGGTTTACATTTTATCATTGGAAATCAGAATAGTTGTCCTCCACGATTAGATCCGCTTTCCGCTACCGCTAGTTCAGTGCCCCGAGACTTTTCTGAATACAAAAGAATACATAATACTCGAGCAGAATACATGTATATATTCTACTGAAAGTAGGGTCTTGGACTACTGGCATGGCTTAAAGGTCAGCCCACCCGGTAAAAATACAAAGTAGCCATTTACTAAAGAGCAGTAGTTATACAAATACCAACGCAATACAATGTGCTTTATTTTTTAAACATTTGTACAAGCGCACAGGTGAATGATACAAGACGGTTGATATAAAGATTCTGCCAGTGTTGGTAACAAAAATGCACGCAATTTTATATTGTCTGGTAAGGAAGCATTTTCTGTAAAACCTCAGGTGGTGGAATTCGAAGCCCCACTTGTAGATTGTGTTCATTCTGGAGGAGTTGTACACAAGGCTCTGTAAATTGAAAGGGCTGCTGAGGTGCCATACCGAAGAATTCTGGTGTTGGCGGCGCCATCAGCAGTGGTGGCAGTGACGGTGGAGGAGGTTGTGGTGATGGGGCTATGGCAGAAATTCCGAGGAGTCGGCTCAGGTCCTGGTGCCCTGATTGGTTGTCGAAGCGCCCTCGTGGGTGCGCCTTGCGGATGTGCTTCTTGAGGTCAAAGTTGCGGCAAAAGCCTTTTTCGCAATAACAGCAAGTAAAAGGCTTCTCCTCGCTGTGTGTATGCATGTGAAAAGTCAGATTGTAGGCCTGGTGGAAGGACTTGTCGCACAGGGGACACCTGTGCTGTTTCTCTTTGCTGTGTGTCAGTTTATGGTTCTTATAGTTCCCCTTCTGGTGGAAGCCTTTTCCGCAGATCTCACATATAAACGGCTTCACGCCTATCAACATACACACAGCAATCTAGCTGTTATGCGTCAAGACCTTGTCAACTTACCAAAGAATGGGCACATAAGTTTTTGGAAATAATAAATTGGGTTAAAACCTCAGTTTATGGGATTAAAATAAATAAAAGAGGTAAAAGCAATGCCAACCAACCCAGGTGGATCTTCACATGTGTGTTGAGTGTGGAGCTGCGATTAAAGGCCTTGCCACAGACCCGGCAGATATGCGGTTTCTCCGCCGTATGGATAATTTTGTGGCGGCACAGTGTGCTAGCCTGCCGAAACCCCTTTCCACAAACCTGCGAAGAATTAGAAGAATGCTTTTTACGTATGATGCTGCTAGACCACTTTGAGGAAAAATGCTCAACATGCACTTTTTCCTCGAAGTAAATGAAGTTTTAAAGGTTGAGTAAGTGTATGAAGAACCCTTTTAAATATTAAAATTTTAGGTTCTTTGTAAACTCTAAGAAGGTATTTTACTTTTTTATAATAGAGCACGGGTTACATCCTAAAGTCGAGTCATATAAAATGCTGCGATAATAATGGTAGAACAATAGTTAATTCAAATTCTGGACTTCTCAAAATGTTTATTTTAAAGAAAAAGGCTAGCGCTTGTCCTCACTACTTTGTAATATTTAGTGACACAAAAGAAAACTTATTTTAAAATGATTAGATCCTTGATCACTTGTGCTGAACCTTAACTTCCAATGCAGTGGTAACTACTGTAGCAAACCTACCAATCGCTAACTTTAAACACGTAAATTGGTAAATATAACCGAATTAATAGACAAACCCTAACCTTGCAAATGAATGGTCGAGCACCTGTGTGAGTAGGCATGTGGCGAGCGAGGTTGTACTGAGCGTTAAAAACCTTTCCACATTCAGAGCACTTAAATCCATGGGTTGTTGTTCTGCTTGTCGTTATTCCATTGCCTTCTATTTTGCTTGAAGTAGATGGTGGTGACGTTGTTGATGGTGGAGGTGGACTTTTTTGAGAAGAGACAGTATGTGTGGAACTCATTAGTCCTTCAATCGAAAAGCTAAGAGACGGCATCTGGCAATATGTAAAAAAGAGGTATGAGCAAGCTATTACGGCTATAATTTGGTTGACGGAAATCTCACAAGTCCCGTCTGTACCATTTGTGAAAAAATGTATTAGATTGAGTTTACTTAGACATTTTAAATACTGCTGTGCTTATTGTAAACGAGATGGTATTTAACCAATATCATACCAATGCTAATATAAGTATAGAAAAGCACAATTTCCAATTTATGCGTGAGAAGAGTGTAATAGCTTTTTGAAAACCAAACCTAGCTAGCAAGAACTGCACGTAGTATCGAAATTCTCCCTATTCATGCCATTTATATCTTTAAGATTAGCTCCTATAGAATCACATAAAAATTTTCCTCTACCCCTTCCTATAACCAATAAAAACGATCTTTCATTGCGTGCTTTTACGCTCTAATGCAAATCTAACCAATCAATTTACAGCGCCACAGGGCAAAGCTGCCAATGTCAGGAGAGCAGTATATGCGGCTGTTCAATTGGTGGAATCAAGCGCTCCTCGAAACTCAACCGCAGATGTTCGACGAATTGTATTCCTTAAAATGCAATTCGAGGTTAAATTGTAATGCACTCATTTGCGGGTGTCCGAACACTTAAGGCATCGATTAAAGCCTGAATTTAATTTCCTATTGGAACAGAAGCAGTTATACGAATCTGCACAAAATGGCCACACATTACCGCTTCTGCGGAGAGACATTAAATAAATGCAGCTTTTCAACTTTACTTTATGCATTAAGGCTAGTTTTATGATAGCTTTAAGCGGACTTATTAAAATGGAGAATTTCTCCAAGGCTCAATTCATTCATAACATAATGAAAAGTCCTTCCAGTATCCATACTCTTGTGGATCGTAATAAGATAATATATGATAGCTTTTTGAAAAAATGATTGGGGTTTATCGGATACAAAACAAACGTAGAGGCATTATTCAATCATCATATCACACAAATAGCTACTGCGAGGAATTTTTTCTTATTTATTTTTCAGGATGAAAAAACGCACAAAATTTTTATAAATACTTTGACATGCATCACTTTTTGATAGTCAAACTAGAGCATATTTTATAAGCTTAATCCAGCGTAACTCTTTTATTTCTTCAGAACGACCACCTCTGGCCGGATTTTCTTAAAATTTTAGTTAAAAACGTAGATAGTAGGTTTTACTTCAGATTTACTGATAACTGTGGATACTGGAGACACTAGGTTCCGATCTTTTATGGAAGCTCAAAGGACTCCCTCTGGGATCGTTTGTTGACCAAGCATATCCTTTTTCTTGCTTTGGGAGGAAGCAGGTCAAAGTACAATTGTCGCGTCCTAGCAATATGCACAATCCCCTCATGGGAATGATAGGGTGACTTTGGGGTTTAAACAAGCTCTAATTATTTAAAAATTGATTTAAATATTTTAAATTTCTTATTTATTTGTAACCGCCAAGTTATATAGTCCAGAACTGAAAATCCTACCGGTATGGAAGTAGCAAGGATGAAACGTACCACAGGTCATTATTACCGTGATTTGTATGCCATCAAATATATATACATATATTTTTCTTTACAATCCCTGAACGCAGAGGAGGCTTAGTGGATTTACTTCAAAGCATTCACCAAGAAATTTACCAATGTTACCTTACTGGAAAGTATTTTTTGCCTAACGTCAACAGCTTAAGGTTGAAAATACAAATATGCTTTTTACTTCGGCATGGACAATGTTTATTTACACTTTATGGACTCACATAGGGAGAAATGAAGTTGACCGTATCGAATGGAAGGGATGGAGGAAGAGAGGGGAGGGGATGCTAACAGGTTTGATGACCAACTCGCTTTCAAACCCCCTCTGCACACATCTGCCTACATTCATCCTCCCCTAAAAAACGGCATCACTTGACATATGACATTTTTGTGTTTCAATCTAGCATTTGGCTGACACGTTGCATCTCTTAACCTCAGCAATTCTTGTGAAAAATTAATGAGGTTGTTTCTTAGCCAAACAGAACTGCGAATAGATTTGAATTTCATATCTTTTTTAAAAAAGCAAAAAGAGTGGAGTCAGTGCTGGATTGATGGGTCAGGTCCTTTGATCAAACTAAAAGCTTTCCAAATTTGGAATTGCCTACTATTTTATGCTCCTTCGATAGTCGGTTTTTACGCAAAATAACGGGGCAGCTGATTATATTTTGAATGGACTATTTTGGATCTCTACAATTGTCGGGCTGCCAATTGACAGAGAAAATCCAAACTGTCAAAAATAATAGTCAATTACTTGTTTGAAACACACTTTGAACGCTTTGGACCGCGGATCTTACCTCTTTAAAGGATGCAAATGAAAAAGAATTTGGAGGACTCGCAAGGCATAAGATGACTTTATAAGTAAATTCATTTAATTAGATGTTTTTACACTACGGGAACGAAAACCTTTGCAAATGTGCACATTCTTAAGCCTACTTAGTAAATATTCAAGTGACGACAGAAAGGTATAGGATTTCTGAGGATTACCATGTAAACTTATGCACGACATCCTCTTTTTTCATTCTCGTGTACAGTCCATAATTGCTTTCTTTCATTGTAAAGCTAATTTCCTAGGCTTAACAAAAAACGGACATGGTTTACCCATGGAGGAATAAAAGAGATGACAGAGAGATGAGAACCGCCCAGAGAAGTCGATCAGTGCTTTATTTAAGTAGTCAACGTATGAGTACAAATATGTGGTCTTTATGATCACCTCAGGTGTTTCTTATTCATCCATACGCTTTTACAGTCTCATGACTGTAAAAGAAAAGGACTTAATCGTCTGACTGCTTAATGTGGTGGAAAATGTAAAACACTTCCGAATATTTTTTGTGTAAATTGAGACCATTTTAACTGAGCTACCTACCATCCACCCGATTCCTTCGGTATAGACGTTGACATAGTGTTTTGGCATTCTTTTTGGGTAAGTTCGGTGCAAACATTGTCAATCAACGCTGCCTTCCCTCAACTCCAGATTATTTTATATAGCCGTCGAAAAATGGACATTTTAATTTCAAAGATTTAGTCTTTCCGCATCAAAGAACTGGCTAACTTGTATTTTGAACCACAACATAAAAGAGTTATAAAAAGTAGAGCAAAAGGGAGGAAGTGGAGGCGCAAAGTGCTCTCGAGTTCGTCGTCCCATGTAAACAAATACACAACGTTTACCTCTCCCTTCTTCACTCGTGTCAAGTCCTGCAGGTGTAACAGGTCGTGACCTCAAAAGTGTTCCTCACATCCATCCTTCATCTCTCAACCCTCTCCCTCCCTTTTCTTACCAGTCGATCCGTGATCGCATTTTAGCCATTCTCGAGTAGAACTGGATGGCACGCGAGAGAGTTTCCGTAAGTGTGAAACAGTGTGGATGTTCGGATACTTGTTCACTCATCGACATGACAGTAGTACCTCTTGGAAAATATGCCAATTTTCGGCCATGAGTAGAAAATTTGTGAATTATTAGAAGTATTTACCATTTACTTTTGCGATAAGGAAACAGGTAAGCATAATTGATTTCGTTTAATATACGCTTCTCATCAATTTATTTTCGGCTAGTAGTTTTACGCTAAATGGGTTTCCATCTAAATAAGTGAATGGTGAAACGTTCCTTGAATGAATGCCAAAAAACCATTCCACACTTGAATTGAAATGATTTCATTAAGGCTGCATACTTTAGTATAAGCAATAATAGTTAAAGGGCGCGTAGAACTTTAGTTTTGCATTTAATTTATTCTGTTTCTTTTCAAAATGTGTCAGACACTAGGATCTACCGGTGGTACCTATTCTACTTGTCAAAGCGGCACCGGCTCAATCAAGAAGAACAACCAGTGTTACTACAGCCATAATAATTTACCTCCGAAACCAACGTTTTAATCCAAAAATTGCCAAAACAGAGAAGTTACTTTTACTATACATTTACACTCTACCTCCGAAACAAAGGACCTCCACATAATTAGGTGAAGACAAAAACTAAAGCTCTTAGACTTAATTTTAATAAATTAACTTAAATCATGGGCTTCAGCAAACATTCTAAGGAACTTTTTATCTCAACAGTGCATGCAGCACCTTTTGAAAACATCCAAAGAGCATTTCAACTATAGTTTGCCTAATTGCTTCACTTCTTCATCGATAAAATCACCTTCACTTCCATTAGGGGAGGGCTCGTACTCATGTTGGATGTGTCATTAGCTGGATCGGTCTAAGCCATCTTCTGACCCGTGCCGCAGGCAGAGGCTAATTTAATCGACTTACAACGAGCACCTCATTTTCCCTTGCCCTGAGGGAAGCAACATTCCTCGCCTTCCCCTCTCTTCGTTATGTTCTCGCTCTCGCCTTCAATACCCTGCTAACATAAAAACAACCTTAATTCATTCCTCCATTCATTTACCCACACGCAAACGGTGACGACACCTGAGCAGATGGTGTGTTTAGGGTGAAAAATGGAAGAGGTAAGAAGTGAAGGCAATACAAAAATTAAATCAACACAGAAGATGATCATTTGACAATAGGGGTGTTTGAGAGGGCTTGAGACTTATAATTTCCAGTTTTTGGTATCATTATCAGGGAGCGATCACGCAAATGGATGAGTTTCAATTGGCACTAAGCATTGCTAGCCCATGAATGGAGGGAGTGGGATACGTTTAACAGAATAAGACTAGGCGAAAGAAGCACATTTTCAATCCTTTTTATCACGCGTAGTGTAGTTACTGTTAGAGAAAAGTAACCGACTGAAATTTGAAATTATCATAGACTTCCAGTAGAAATTGATTGGGATTAAATGGATCCTTAATGCTTGTGTTGATACTCGTTTTATGAAAATTAGCTCAGTTTTGACATAAATGTCGAGAAAAGGAGGCCACGGAGATATATGGAGCTTTCCATAGTTCCGCTTTTGCCGATTTCAAGGACATTGATCTCATAACCTCGTCCCATGGCCGAGTCATGCTTTGGCGCCGGTGGGGTGGGTTAGCCCATGTATCACCAAGGCG